TATTTCTTTGTCGCAACATTGCTTCTGGCAGTACGGTGGCACAACTGGTAGAGCTGCTGCCTCTCAGCGAGCAGGTCCCTGGTTCAAATCCCGGGGGCCTTTCTGGGTGGTGTTTGCATGTTCTCTCCGTGCATGCGTGGGTTTTCTCCAGGTACTCCGGTTTCCTCCCACAGACCCAAAAAAAACATGTATGTTAGGCTGATTGGTAACTCTAAATTGTCCCTAGGTGTGAGTGAGAGAGTGAATGGTTGTTTGTCTCTAAGTGTCCCTGTGATGGACTGGAGACCTGTCCAGGGTGTCCCCCGCCCCTCGCACAGTGATTGCTGGACATGGGCACTGGCGATCCCCGTGACCCAAAATGGAAGAAACGGGTAAAAGATGGATGGATTCTGGGTTTTGGTTCTGTTTATTGCATTTATGATTCAATGCAATAAAATAACCAAATTTAAAAGGTATCAGATCATAGTAAACTTTGGTTTATTTACATTATGACTTTAATTGCTGAATGTCTGACCCCTGAGCTGCTGGCTTTCAGAAACTGTGGCCCCTGAACAGTTTTGTTGAACAGCCCTGATATATATGTTAAACTTTATGTGTCAAACTCAAGGACCGGGGGCCAAATGAGGCCCTCGTTGACATCTGGCCCCCAAGATGATATGTGAAACATAAAATACTTCTATCTTGAATTTTTTTCAGTAATCTTTGATTATGATGTTGAAAGCACAACAGAGAACATCAAGTGAGACCAATCAGACTCTTATTGAGGAAACTGTGACCAAGAAAAGATGTTGGGTATCTGATTTAAGTTAATGCAGTTTCTGAAATTGGCCTAACAAGGTTTTAATTTTGGCCCTCTTTTGTAAGTGAGTTTGACACCCCTGTGCTAAATGAACGCTAAATTATACACTAAAAGATGCTAAACACTAATAATGTAAAATAATACGGTGTGTTAAACTGCATCCTGAACATGAGACCCATTGCTGTTTTTTAAGCCGATTCCTGCTGAGGGTTGATGTTTTATTATATTTTTCACACATGAATACATGCTTGACAGATCAGAGGACAGATGTTTTTAAATTATTTTTATTTTTTTTTACAAGATATAGATGTCAATAAATTGCACCAATGTACAATGTAAAATGTGGAAGAAAAGAAGCTCTAAATTTGTGTTGTGTCTTGCAGCTATGCCATCACAGTCTGGTACTTTAATGCCAAAGAGCGGTTAGAGGCTAAAGAGAAGTACCGACTGGGTAAGCCATTTGTATGATCAGTTGAACCTTGTCTGATCCGATGGGAGTTCATTTTGCCCGTCACTAACAGTCTCTTATCTCTTCTTTGCACAGCCGCGGGACAAAAAGGCGTACAAGTGCCTGTCACGCAAAACAGCAGGTCGTAAAACTGCTCAAGTGACCGGAGAGCACTCTCAGAGTATTACGTGCCTTCCTGAACTGCTAACGATTGCAAAGGGAGACACGGTGAGACTGTCAGCTGTCGCCGCAGCTCCACGCCGCTTCCTGCTGAGTGTCAGCCGCTCGGCTCGCGTCGCCAGCTCTCATGTAACGACTCGGGATACCGATCAGAGACGTGGCTGGACTTACAGAGCGCGGCGGCACTGGATTGTACGGCAGAGGTGAGCTCAGATACAGAGACGTGGCAGAACTACGAAGACGTCCCCACTGAGTCACCTGAGAAGACAGCGACCTCAAAACTGACTTACTATAGTTTTTGTTTTTTGTTTTGCCTGATCAGTTATCAGCATTGTTGTGACGTATTGACATATTAACGTTTTACTTTGCTCCGGCGTCATTTACAATGAGAACATAAGAAGCAGCAATGGTGCGGGGAGGGGGCAGACAGATATCAGAGCTCCGAGTCCCTTATTCACATCTGTATGTGATGTGGCTCTCCCGTGTCTAACGGTGTGGGCGTGTGTCTGCGTGTGCGCTGAAGGTTGCAAAAAGAAGTTGGCTTAAGTGGAAAAGTTATGGACAACAAACATCTTACCTGTTACCTCAGACAACCTCAGTTTAGAGAAAATAAGAGCCTACAGATCGATGAGCTATCGTCTAGTCTGAGTGAGGTCAGGACTGCCATCTTAAAATGACTCATAAGTTTCACATGAACGCTGTTTTGTAAGCTTTACATTGCCTTTATGCGTTAGACATGTATTTACAAGTATTTCTATGGTTATTAGCAAGCACAAAACACAGCAGCAGCTAGCTGTAACGCTTCCTCTGCAACTTGTGGCACTTCCTGCAGGAATATTATAATGCTGCTGCTGAAAAACCGCGTTGTTCGGCAGTGTAAATGTTTATAAAATGGTGTTTTTTCAAAGAGCTATCTACGGCAGGTAGGATACTAATTGTTCATAGGCTTTCCACTGAATTTCACTGGTTTCGTGAAATGAGCACACCACGTAGAGTCCGCTCATATTTCTGGACTTTATCAGAATACAAACACTCCAAAGTTTCAACGTTGTTGCACAAAAACAAAACAAAAAAAAAACACTTCAGGAAAATATGAAGTATGATTTTTTTATTTTTTTATTGTGTGCATCAGGGTGCATGTGATGCTGACTGTGAGACTGGGTGTTTTTACTTTTGTATGCAGGTCTGATCGAGATGAAAAAAACTGTTTATAAGTGAGCAGTGTGGACGCTGTTGAACAAACCTGCCCAAGAAAGACTCGCGCAGAAATAAAAACGCAGCAAAAGTCTCGTTTTTCCCAACAGAACTTCAAACACTGATCATCTCAGTCGGCGTATGACCATAAAGCACAGATTTAAAGACACACCGTGTGAACTGCTGAGTGTGTGTTTTTTATTTTGTATCTTTTGCCTGCTCACCTGTGCGATGAAGCACAGGCGCCTTCTCAGTGTTAGATCTGGAGCGATTTAAAACAATTTATTTCAAAGAAAAGCACTTTATTCTTGTTTAAGACGCCACGACAGAAAGATGTCTTTAAAGCTGTGGAGGAAATGCTCTTCTATCTCTACAACTGAAACGGCAAGAACAAATTCAAACGCTTCTTTTTTATGTATTTAATTGAAAGAACAGTGCATGAAAACTGTAATTCATTGAAAACAACCTGAACGTCTTAATTTGGCTTATTTTTATTTTTATGTTTGAGTAACATTAAAATGAGTTATAATCTAAATTTGGATGCACGGTAACAGCCGCTGAGTCCATCAGAGGTTATTATAATCACTGAAATTGGCCTTTTTCTGGTAAACAAAAGGAAAACGTTTTGACTTTTCAAAGCGAATGCACTCGGACTTGGCCGTCCCAACGCCAGTGGAGCTCAGAGAGGAAGCGAGTTATTTATAAAGCTGCGGTGAGCGACGTGTGATGCAGTCCAGGACTCGAAACACGTTGAACACATCAAGACTGCTGTACCACTGACTTTCCACCTGGCTTCAAAACCAACGCTGAATAAAGATCATTGGATCCTCCAGCTCGTGTTTGTCTTTTCTCTGTGTTGGAACTTTTCTCGTGAATTTGTAGAAATCTGTGTATTTTTCAGAGCTTTTATCCTGGCGGGAGCACCTGACTGAGTGCTGTATATGTGGATACGGATAAAGCTATCTGTCCTCATGACTCGTGGCGGGATGGAAATAACAGCTTTCCATGAGCAGATTCCAACAGTTGGAAGTGATGTCATCAACATGGCTGCACCTGGCTCACATTAGATTTGCATTCAGGCCTAAAAAATCCAACCGACCCCAACCCATAGCCATTTTGTCTGATCCCGTCCCGACCAATTGTCTATAATTAGAGGTCCGAACACGACCAAATAAAACCTCAACTTTCTTTAAATTAAGCTTTTACTGCTTTTGTAAGCAAATCAGTTTGACGTGATATTTTAAAAATATATTTCAAAGAAAGGAAGATAGAAGATTGCTTGTTTCACCAAATGAATATTAACATACAAAACAAATAGCCTAAAAATAAACCTCTAAAGATAGACAAAGTTTGTTTTCTCAGTCATCCAGGTATATAACAACAAAAAAGGTTGAATCATGTCATCTGGACTTCGGGGTTTTTTTTTGTTAAAAAGAAACGTTTCACCCCTCATCCAAGAGGCTTCGTCAGTCTGAGGCCTAGCCATCTGGTATTACCCAGAAGCCACCCTGACTCTTGTGTTTCAAGCCTGCCTCAGATACCCCTGAAGTCTGGCCTTTTCACTAATGGTTTCAAAAACACAAAGTTTGTTTTCTCAGTCATCCAGGTATATAACAACAAAAAAGGTTGAATCATGTCATAATCATGAGGGGCGAAACGTTTCTTTTTAACAAAAAAACGAAGTCCAGATGACATGATTCAACCTTTTTTGTTGTTCTCTAAAGATAGGTTATTATACAGAAGAACAAAAATATTTTTAGAGCAAAATTATTTGGAAAAATACAGAACAAGGCTATTTTAATTGAAGGCTCTGCTCGCTTCAGCTTTTGTAGCTTCAGATGCAACTTCCTTCACCGCAATTGAAAGCAGGTGCGGAGAGGCGCGCGGCCGGTGATCCGGTTGTCCATCGGAAGCTTAACACAACATTTTTTTACTTCTTTCAATCAGCCGGTCGGACTTGAACATGCACTGGACCTGACACACATCAGCAGGTTTCACTGTGCTGGTTTTATAGAGTGAGTTCTCCTGTTTTTAGCTTTTGATTAATACATTCCAGCTCCATTATGTCACTTGTTGTGGGTCAATTGCAAATCCTCAGATGTGTGATAAGAGCAAAAGGTGGGCGGGGCCACTTGCGCAATTAAAACCGCATCAAAAGCCCGAGCCCAACATGGCCTGCCCATCAAGCACATAACTTTGGCACGACCCAGCCCGAATTTTGGGTCGGGTACAGGCTCAGGCCAAAAATCGCATCTCTAGCTCACATACAGGCTGTAAACGTTTCCAAACACGCTCAGATGCTTTGTACTTTTTTTAAATTGTGTGTTCAGGAGAATTTGACCTACAGTCTCAAAAAGCACGTTTTAAATCTTTTCTTTGTTCTTTATAAATCGACTGTTCGTCCGATTGAAAAGTGGAGGAGGCATTTTCAGTATCGACAGGAAGAAGTCGTAACAGAAATACAAACAAGTCAAATCATACAGAAATATTAGTTAATTTTCCAAGATACAATAAATACAATTAAGAATAGATGTCAAATTTAACGCATAAGTAACCTGTTGCCACCAATCTGTTTTTGTTAGCAAAATATCTTAAACCAGTGGATAGATTTTATTAAACTCTGTAAAAAAAAAAAAATCACGAGTCATTTAGTCAACCCAGTTCAAGATGGCCTCTACAACTAATCAACATAATCAAAATGGGTTAACTCAGCCATTTTTTTTTACAGATATGGAGATAAAATTAGGTATCGTCATTTTTAATTTTTACCGTCCTCTATCAGCTGTTTTTGTCTCGTCATGGAGCATCCGTCCGTTTGTGTTGTGAGCTGATAACTTCAAAAATAAGACTTCCATTTTGGTGTACGGCTGCGTTAAAAAGGTCCTGATGGAAAATTGGGTTGCCACGTCTAAATCCAAGATGGCCACTGCTGTATATGTTTAATTCATCCACCCTGATCATTTGAGGAAACGTTGCTTTCTAGTTTTTATTTTGCTTAAAAGTATAATTTCCTCAAATGACTGAGGTGGCCAAACAATAATCTATGGTTGCTCTCTGTTCCCCATGCAATAATGTAACATGCAGGAATGTTCTGCATAAATGTGCACATTTCAGTAGAAAAAAACAGAACTGAGTTGCACAGATATCACATATTACTAGATTACAAAAAATTTAAATGAAGTGTTCCAAGTCACTTTACTAATAGACACCGGTAATAAAGGCCTGCATTTAATCAACTGAAGGCCTTTATTACAAAACATGGTCACAAATACACATCCAACAAAGTGACTTAATGCTTATTTTTACTAATAACAAGTAATAATATTTATTAGGATCCCAGTTTGTGATTTAATATTTCAAAGTAGGAAACTTAGCCATTTCCTGTAAATACACAGTCAGGACTCACATATGCTAGCATGGTTCAAACTTTAGCAGATAAAAAAATACATTTTTTTTGTCCTAAATTACAAAACACCAAAGATTTATTACATATGTTTAATTTATAGTTTAACAAGGAATAGTCTTTACATGTGGTACTTTTAAAACACTTAATGAGTTGTGTTGATTTAAAGCTTCAGGTATGTTTCGTGGCTCTGGATAAGTTTGATTTTAAGTGAGAAAAGGAGTCGTGGTTATGAGACACAAAGCGAAACAACAGGAGCTAGACGTATCATGAAAGCACATAATGTTCCACTGCACGTGAAGTGAAAACTTAGAGGTTTTATAGACGGGCTGATGAACAAAGTGGAGACACCTGGTCACAATGACAGGCGGTATCAGGTGAGAGTGGGCGGGGCCAGAGGAGAAACTGACTGAGGAGAAAAAGACTGGTGGCACAGAGGAAAACACTGAAACCATAAGAAGAAGAAACTAGACAAATTACAGTTGCTGCCAAACTGCAGTGTGAATGTTTGTTGCAGAAGAACTTGATGAGAAACAACTGACAGTGGCGGTTCCTTATATGGGCGACATGGGCGGCCTCCAGCAGGGGGCGGCAAAACACCTCCACACCTCCCGCTCCCCCCCCCCCCCACCGTGCCCACGATCTCTGAAGATAAAAACTTTCTGAACACCTACCAAACGTTGAGCATGCATCAGGATACCAAACGTTGTTAAAAGCTGTCCAAATTCTAACAACCACCCATAGCTGTGTATATGGAGGTTCTTGGGCTGGCAGCTGTCAGTCAGGTCTGGGCTGGCAACCCTGGGTTGGTGACGGTGTTAATCTAATCCGCTTAAATGCAAATTATGGAAGATGGAAAGGAAAAGGTCAGTTTAGGAAAAAGAGAAAAGAAGAAGAGGAGAAACGAGCAAAACATAAAGGTAAGAAGAGCTGTGTGTTACTGTCATTTCTTGTTGTGTGTAGGCTGTAGCTTGCTAATGCTAACTGGTTAGCTGCTTAGGACGACATATTTTGTTAACGGCGGAAAATATGACCGTCTTGAAGATTGACATTCTTCTTAAACTAAACAAACAACATGGAAAAGTAATAATGGACCACTATAATTTCTAAAGGCAATGATTTTGTGATGTACTTTGGATGACTGGAACTCGAAGCCTGACGGTCCATTGGAGGCGCTAATGTTTCAGCGCGGCCTACAATACTTCTATGAATTTCATAAATTGGAAATGTATGTAGGCTTAAAAAAAAAAAGGCTTGGTTGTTTTTGTCATTTGCTATGTCGGTTTAATAGTCCCTTAATCACATTAGTTGAGAAAAACTATGTTGGCCTGCCATAATTACTCTATTGCATAAGGCTGCAACAAAGGTTTTATATCCTATTAAATAACCACCATGAGGGATATAATCATGACTGTTTGATGATGACACAATTGATGGTGTATGTTTTTATGTTTGACATTCAGAATACCAAACATAAAAAAATATGTAATTTTATATATCTGATGCAAATTCAGGGGCACTTCTGAAATATTTTGGAGCACCCACTGCCACAGGCCAGGATGAAGAGCCATCCACTTCTTCAACTGAACAGCTGCCTCCAGCATCATTCCTGCCTCCAGCATCATTCCTGCCTCCAGCATCATTCCTGCCTCCAGCATCAGCCCTGTTTCTAGTGAACCCGGTGAACCAGCGCCAACAATGTTGTCAGCAGTAAACACGCTGAGTGTTTGGACCTGGCGGGCCGGCACCGCTCACCTGTCAGGCTGTCGTAGCACTCGATCTCGGTGCTCTCCACGGCTCTCCGCTGCTCCTCGGTCAGCTTGGCGGCGGCTTGGCTCAGCAGGTTGACCTCGGAGCCCGTCGTCCCGTCCACCACATGCACCCCCTTGAGCTGCAGCAGCGCCCGGTGGTACTTGCCTATCGCCTCCCGGAATTTCTTCTCCTTGTAGCAGCGATGACCCTCCACCTTAAAGTCGATGGCTTTCTGGATCTTCAGCTCCATCTCCGTTTCAGCTGAGCCGGCCCGATACCCGCCGTCTCCCCCGGCGGCCGCCGCCAGGCTACGACCGCCGGTTTCCGGGTAGCTTTTCAGGCTCTTTATAGGATGTTATTTAGCCTCCATGTCTCTCAGTGGACGCAGTTGGAGCGGGCCATCGTGCTCGGACACGTAGGTGTGTTTTGTCGGGAGGACCGGAGCAGCGTGCTGTGCATAAATGGCACGCGGAGACGGCGGCAGGCGGGAAC